AGTTTTTTGAGGGGATTTCTATTATAGTTGATTATTTAAATTTAGCCTATGTGCCTGAAGTTCAGCCTCATTCACAGGGGCATACCTAAATGCACAATATGCGAAGGACCATGATTGCTGCACAGGATGCATAGGTGCTGCATGCATCTGTGTGCAGGCAGTCTCATTTCTGTCTACTGGGATGCAGTGGCTTCACAGAAGCAGCTGCTGCTTCCAACTTGATATCCATGTTGGTGTGGGTGTGGACAGTGTGAGTTCAAGGACACACACCCCCACACATCCAAACCCACGAGGATGGCAAATTGGGAGCAGCAGCTGAGTCCGTGCAGCTTCAGTATCCCAATAGACATCCGTGGGACTGCCTGCTCACGATTGCACAGAGCAGAAGAAAAAAACAGGACTTCTTAACCAGAGTGAAACTTGTGAAAACAGTACCTGATATACTGTAAGTCATAGCAGACATAAGGTGATGTTTTTCTCTTCTCCAAGACCTAACATTGTAAAAAGTGAAATTGAATACATTTAAGGTCATCTATCACAATTGGATATACAGTATGCAAGAATCATGTAATCACTCTATTATAACTGGGGCATTATTATCAATTAAAATGTATATTTACCCCATATCAAGCTTGCTTACTTTGGTTGTTACTCTTCTACTGATTGCTGCCATGTTAGCACCCTGATCATACAGTGTTTCCTAACATCTGAGTTTGCATAAAACTATAAGTAACAGAACTTCTTTAAGAGTAGTGTCAACAACTACAAGGTTCTGTTATCTGATGCTGTTATGTACATTCAGAACCCATGTGTGTCTGTGTGAGGTCAGGCAGTTGACAGGGAAGCAATGGCCAAAGTGTAATTAAAATAAAACCTAAATAATGAGAAGTCATAAAATGGTATTTCATACATCCGCCTGCTAAATTATATGACATTAAAGTATAATTAAAGGCTTTTTTTTAGTTTTGGATGAGCAGAGATGGCTTAGAATACCTAGGTTTTTATTGCTGTCTGTGTCCCCCAATAGAGAGATTTCACCCTTTCTATTTGTCCTGTTTACCATTATCATCAAAAGTGGAAGTAAAAGAAAATCCCAAATTTTGGATTGTCCCCAGAAAAGTAATAGAGGGGAGATTTTCCAATGGGTGCGTTAGTTCTGGTGATCTGGGGGTCCCCAATGAATTCCCTTAATTTGCAGGGATTAGCTCTCACTTCCTGTTTTGGCAGATGGCAAAAATATACTGACAGGGGTTATAAACCTCCATTATTCTATCCAAAATGGAAAAAAAAAGTTACCTATAGTTCCACTCTTAATGTCAGATTCTTATATAAATGTAATCATGACTGATTCTCTTTAATAGCAAATCTTTAGATTTTTACAAAGGATAGACAGCAAAGTCTGGGAAAAAGCTGGGAGATATTTGCAAATTACCTAAATCTCACAGTAAATTGATTTTGAAATGTATAAATGTGTATTAGAGAAATAACTGTCACATTTTGAGTTCATTAAATGATCATGCCACCTTTAAGGGTGTATGCTAGTGGACTAAGAACTTGTGTCCCAGGAACTTGATCAACAAGGCCTTTCTGTCTTTGCTTTTGGTCCCTTCTCTGTAAGGTAAGATAGGTAACAAATTCAGCATAAAAAGTGATATGTGAAGGCCAGGAGCTTAACAAGCACTTGGGACCTAGGACACATGCCCTGCATCTCCTGCAGGGTGTTCCAACTGCCCAAACAATCAAGCACAATCCTTATAATTTATGTTATCACTAGACAGCACAAATTATAAGCAAAGGCACAAAGCCAATCAGGGTGGTGCTGTACTTTGTGATCGGTGTGATAGCCAATCGCAGCAATCACAAATGTAACAACAGGGGCTTAACAAGCACTTTGGACCTATTACACATGCCCTGCATCTCCTGCAGGGTGTTCCAACTGCACAAACAATCAAGCACAATCCTTATAATTTATGTTATCACTAGACAGCACAAATTATAAGCAAAGGCACAGAGCCAATCAGGGTGGCCCTGTACTTTGTGACCGGTGTGACAGCCACTCACAGGAATCACAATTGTAAAAAAAATGTGTTTTCATTTTAGAGCATGCCTTTTCTCCTCTGCCACCCATCCTTTTCTTTCTCCTGCCCATGCTTCTCCACAGATCAGGTAAGTGTAACATTGCTCTCACTAACCAGTGACAACAGGACAGCACACTAAACACCAATGTAATGGGGGCACACTGACCACCAATGTGGAGGAGCACACTGCTTCCATTGACCACCAACAAAAGGGCAGCAGTGAACATCAACAAATGGGGTACAGTGACCATTGAAATTGGGGTACACTGACCTCCAATAAAAAAGGGGGCACACTGACCACCCATGGAATGGGGCACACTGGCTACCAATGTAAGGGGCGCACATAGACCATCAAAAGAATGGGGGCACCTTAACCATCAATGGAATGTTGACGACACACAAACCACCAATGGAATGGGGCACACTGACTACCAATTTCAGGGAGCACACTGACCACCAGTATGAGAGGACACACTGCTCCCACTGACCACCAGCAAAGAGCAACACACTGACCACCAATGTAAAAGGAGCACACTGGCCATCAATGTAATTGCAGTATACTGACCACCAAAAAAATGGAGGCACATTAACCACCAGTGGAATGGTGGGGGCACACAAAACACCAATGGAATGGAAAAAATTCAAAACTACCCATGGTACAAGTATCTTTAATAAAGGGAATAAACAAGTGAATATGTTTTTCTTTTTTGGGGACTGCTGCTACTTAAGGTTTTCAAACTCCCCTAATAAACAAACCTATACTTCCCCCTTCTTTTTGGGGAGGGGAATAGTAGTGAACCTGTCTTTGTCATCCTCTGATTTATGATCTAATGTGCCTTAATATGTACCTGATATTTCTAATGTCCTTACTTTTTTCTGCTTATTTTACATCCTTAAGTGTACACTCCCCGCCGTTGTTGCTGAGTGTTTGTCAGGTTTGAGACTGGAAAAAGGGTATAGATGTAGTAGTGTTGTTTTGTTGACCCGGGAAATGCCCCAAGGCTATGTTTTGTAAACCATTCCTATTTTTCAAAGCAATAAAAAAAAAAAACACATGTACAAACTCACATTGCTATCCTCCAATGCAATAACCTTAAATAAAGTGCAATTAATATTATAAATACAACAAACCAATAAAATTAATATGTCTCGTGACAGTCTTCATCAAATAAAGTGCATATGTCTGTCTCTCCAAAATAAAGTGCATTATGCTCAAGTATATACTGTATCTCATGCAGTTTTCACCATTCACTGTGCAGTTTGTGCAGATCCACTTTGCTTTTATGTTCACCAGACTCTGTGCAGTGCTCCCCTCAAGTGTTCCCACACTCACCAAAGCCCCTTGACTTTCTGCCTCAAGCAACAAGAGTCACAAGCATTTGCAAGTAGATCGGTGAACACAAAATATGCTTTTCCTTGATCTCATTTCCTTCTCCTTCTTCCCCTCTAAGTCACTTTGTCACTTTATACCACTCCTCATGGAACTGTACAAACAGAAGAAAGGGAATCCTCTATCACTGTAACAGCAATAATAAGTAAAAAGAAAAATCCCTGACTACCCCCATCAGATCTCAATGGGGAAAAATATCATGCTGGATATCTATACTGATATAGACTGGGTAATGTATTAGGAACATAAGGATGCCCCATCATTTAATGGAAATGAAAATTATCAACCTACAGAGGACTAAATTCAAAGACACCCCGAAAATCAAAGTGAAAAAATGATGCAGGCTAGTCTATTTTACCGAAATGTCATTGCAGCAACTCAAAATGGTACTCAGCAGTTTGTATGGCCCCCACGTGCTTGTATGCACGCCTGACTATGTCAGGGCATGCTCCTAATGAGATGACAGATGGTGTCCTAGAGTATTTCCTCCTAGATCTGGACCAGGGCATCAGTGAGCTCCTGGACAGTCTGAGGTGCAACCTGTCGGCGTCGGATGGACCAAAACATGATATTCCAGAGGTGTTCTATTGGATTTAGGTAAGGCAAGTGTGGAGGCCATCTAGTGCACTTGTTAATTTCTTCAACACCAAAGCAGCTGAAACTGATTAACAACCCCCTCTGCTACTTAACTGATCAGATCAATATCCCACTTGATGCTATACTCTGATTAAAAAGTGTTCCTTTAATTTTTTTGAGCATAACATATATGTATCGTAGTTTGTAAATTAGATTTTATTGGATATGTTTCATGACAGAAAGTAGAAAATATTGGTTTTTTTTTTAATCAAAATTTTCTTTTGCCCTTTTTTCATTTATATAGCAAAAAATCAAAGAACCAGTGGTGATAAAATACCACCAAAAGAAACTTCTATTTGTGTGAAAAGAAATTATCATAAATTAATTTGCATATAGTGTTGCATGACTGCACAATTGCCAGTCAAAGTAGCGCAGTGCTGAATAGCAAAGAATAGCCTGGTTAAGAAGGGGGTAAAGCCTGTTCCTTTAGGCCATGTCCAATATCCAGTGCAATTAAGCTACACCCACTCTTTGTCGCATGTTTATGTCTGTGGGGATCCTGTTTGTATCACTGTAAAGAATATTTTGTGAGTGCTGAAGGACTGTGGTAGATGTGCCATGTATACAGTGAATAGGCTCAGTTTGTATTTAACCATACCCCCTTGAAGTCCCTACCACTGTTTGAGCAATTAGACAATACCGACCATTCACTGCACTGTATCGTTACTTTCTTAGGATGCCTTAAGTCTTTCACAATCCTAGTTACACCCCTGGCGACCCAAATAAAGGCATACCAAGCCTTGAAACCAGAGGTTAACCTCCCTAGCGGTATTCCCGAGTGTAGCTCGGGGTAAAATGTCAGTACCAAAAGCGGTAACCCCGAGCTACACTCGGGCTTACCATGCAGCGTTGCATAGGGATTCACTGCAGCGCTTACCTTGTCCTTCGGTCCCGCGATGCGTCCCCTGCAGCGTCCCCGGCCATCTCCTCCGGCCGATGCCGGCATCCGGCTTCCGTGTTCCGGTCCCTGTGACGTCAGGACGTACGGGCGCCGGAACCGGTGGCAAATTTGAACATTTTAAAAATTACATTTTTTTAAACGATTATTACATAGTAAAACATTGCTGTTTCAAAGCATTTCACATACATTTTGTCCCTACTGCTTTGTCCTGTGCCCTGCCTGCATTTTGACTGTTCTTTCTGCCTGGAAACTTAGGAAAGTCCATGGCATCCAAAAAGCGTCCCTTTAGGTCAAAATCGGTTTTAGACCGGCTAGAGAACAGCAATAGTAAATCAGAACCACTTGCAGAATTGAGTGATAATGATTCGTGGGGAAATTCGTCATCAGACACTGAAAACAATTTTGCGACTTTGCTCAGCGATGTGCGAACTTGGCGCTATTTTTCAAAATTCAATGTTTTTGGTTTGATTATATTATTGAATTAAATTTATTATTATATTGTTATTTTTTATGATTATTTAATTATAATTTATGATTTCGTGTTTGAAGTTTTATCATATCCGGAATGTTTACTAGACTCTTGTTCGGACAGATTTCAGTGAGTTATTCCTAAATTACAGGCCTACAATAAAAAAAACTACATATTTCCATGCAAAAAAATGTACTGCTTTCAGCACCAAAAATCTGAAATAATCATACCGCTAGGGAGGTTAAATAGAAGCATAGGAAAGCATACATGGACCTTTTACTATGTTGATTTGCCTCTTCAAAGACAGTGACACTATTGTACTTGAAGTTACTGGCTTCACCTACAAACTGTAGGTTTTTGTATTCTAGGTGTGATCATGTATAATCAGAATAGAAGTTTAAGAGTAGGGGTGTGTGGACCTGCCTAGAAATGCAGTCCTTAGCTTTGTCCCAACCAGTATGGCTCTTGTGTCTATGCCATGAGTTGTGCTAACTTGGTATTAACAAGTCTGAATTCTGAGCTGGTATTAGTGTGTGCAAACTACTTTTTAGAACCTCTTGCTTCACACAAAACTGGGTACTGCCAGGTAATGCAAAAAAAACAAAAAACCACTCTGGCTGAGGGACGGTAAACGGTGACAACTTGTTTTCTACGTAAAACTGGACCAAATTTTGTATCCTCTTCTCTGAGCTTGCTGTTTTGCTCCTTCAATGTGATTGCTTACTATTTAGACCATTGGTAAATATTATCACACTGGTGACGCTAGCCCTGAACTCTTTTCCTCCTGTAAGCACACCTGAGTACTTCCCTGTACCACCCATTGGCTTACAGATCAAGAATTTACACTTTAATCCTGATTTTAGCTTTCAGTTGGCACGTAGCAGCTCAGGATAGTGACAGATTGCTGATCATTATTTCTGACTTTTGAAGGAATAAATAAGTAAATAAGGACAGGTGGGGGTAGTAATCATGTCAGGAGTTGTTCTTTAAAATATAAAATCTCCTCTTTGGTGGCCTTCAGCGTTAAAGACAAAGTAGAAAATGTGAGTGCTTTTTTTCCCCCGACTAAATAGCTGAAAATCCATATTTTCTGTCAAGTGTTGTCAGACTGATGCTTAATTCGCGGTGTACACTGTCTACAAGTTTGCCTTTGTAGTTCTAAATCGACGCCGCGTATAATTCATACAGTGACCTTCAACTTTATGAGAAGGTGGAAAAGGTGCCCGCAGCCGCAGCTAGAAGCGGCATCTCGACAAATTATGCCAAGGACATGCAGGGTGGCTCACCTTTTGCAAGAAAAACTTCAAATAGTTTACAGCACTCAAGATTGATTGTGAGGTCTGCGGGCCTCAAAGGGTACCCATAAAGTTCAATTAAAAATCTCATTAGGATTGTATAGGAGGATCAAACAGAAATCAGGAGGGACTCATGGGAGATGGAGAATGCCTGCCTGATTAGTCCAAGGCCTTCATAAATGATTATTCTGTTACTCAAATAAGATGTCTTCTGTGGTCTGTTAGCAGTAATAGCCAGATTTTACATTCTGCTTGCTTAAATTATACTTCCAGGTAAGACAGAGTGGAGTGTACAGCCTGTCACTAGTATTATTAATATTGTAAATCCCGATATTAATGGAATGGAGTTGAATAAAAGAACTCTCTATTCCATTAGAAAATTGTGACTTGGAATGTTCAGATGAAAGTCATAACTGCCAGTACAGAAGCACTGTAGAAAGTATTCAGTAAAGCAGTAAGCAGAGCGCTGTAAAGCACAGCTTCTAGATGCACACTTACACTGATATGACATCAGTAAACTGAAACCAGCTCCTCTTCTTTGTCTCCAGGCAGATATAAAATACACAAATTAATGCAAATATGTATTCATACAATACACATAATATATCAGTAAAGGATAAGTTCACCTTTCGTAACATGTTAGACCCATATTCAGAGTGTAACATGTTATTGTAGCACTGGCCCCTGGCACCCCCGATCCCCTGTTGTGTCAGCTAGTGGGGGATCTTTTGCCCCCGTTAGCTGTCACAGAGTTCTTGGTTGACCTAAAGGAGATTGCCCACTCGCATTTTAGCATTTGTGGTCTGCTTTAGAGAATACTTCCTCAGGATCCCGTTCATTTCAAAGTTATAAATATAAACATGTTGTTTGTGATTTGGACAAAGGACGTAACCAAAAAAAGCAACAGCAAAACTATTTACTAATTATTCATCTTTATGTTGCCTGACAATTCTTGGGACTTGTGCTTGTAAACCCTTACATATGCCCAGTAATGTGACTGGCCAAATCCTCCCACATAAGTTATACTTGTTTATTTGCAGTCTTCTCTTCTCTCTTCATGCGTTCAAAGTCCCGAATTTATACAGCCTGTCTGAAATGTAAGAAAAATGGGGGTGGAGAGCTGAAGTAACACTCTGCAGAGCTCAGTGAGGAGAACTCTGAGAGCTGATTGGAGGGAAGAAACACACCCTCCTTCACACAACACACAGGAACAGAGCTGAGGCTGTCAATCTGCTGGAGCTTCCTCCCCGTCACCTTTTTTCTCTTGGTGTCAGGAAAACTTGTCAGAAGTGATTCGTGCTGATAGCAGAGGAACAAAGCAGCAGACAGAAATGACACTTAGGCTGGGTCCACACTAATGTGGTGCAGGGACACTGCATGTAATTCACACAGGAATCGCACTGCATTCCTGTGGGAATTCCATCCACTGTCTGTGTCTGGTGTGATTTGAGCCATTTTGTATGGCTCAGATTGCACCGCATCTAACCAAAATGGTGCAGGACCTTTTTTTTGCTTTGCACCTGAATCGCATCGTATCGCATGGGTGTTGTCACCCATGTGATGCAACTTCTGGCAATTGCATCACGTTTTGTGATCTGTTTTGTGGTGTCATTAGTTTATCATTGACACCCGCACTAGATTGCATACACCATGCGATTGCAATGCGGTGTGGGAAACACACACAGGATTCGCAGCATTTCCTGTACCACATTAGTGTGATCCCAGACTTAGGCCTCTTTCACACCATGGTGCAGAGACGTCAGTTATTCTGCAAGGACACACAAAAAATAATTGTTTTCTATGTGCCCTGTTGACACCACAACACTAGTTTCATGTGCTGATTTTTTTTTCTGTGTAGGAATCTGTAACATGTATAAAACTCGTTGGAGCACATGAAAACTGATTTCTCTGCAAGTGAAATTTGTGCAGTTTTCCCATCAGTTTTTATGCACGTTTGGTATGAACGAGGCCTTAGTGCTCTTAATTGAGACAAGTACATATGATAGAGGGATATGCTTTGCTCATATTTCATGTCAAAGGTTTACAACTATAAAGCGGGACTAAACCCAATGATTTAACAGTTTCCCAAAACAGTTACATTCAAGGCATGCAGTGAATGATAACTGTCAAAGTTACTCGTGCTGTCAACCTCAATGTCAAGTCAATGAATAGAAGGTGTAATAACTGATCACATGTGCAGCTTCCTTGGCTGTAAAGGATAGGAGGGTTCAGTTCTGATTTAATAGGGGGAGCTCCAGGTCTTGCTAACATTGGCAGTATTTGTAATATAATCACTGTTACTTTGCTCTCGACTCCTTTTACATCATGCTAGCAATAGGTGGTTTTATATACTATTCACTATTGATTCCTGAAGAGGACATTTCTGTACTGCATTCTGGAGGAACACAGTCACCATACATCCAAAACTCTGTAAACAGGAACATTTATCCCAGATCTCTATTTGCATAAGGCAGAATATGTCTCCTACCGCCAATGCTACTAAATAAATATGGCATATAGCAGGGGCAACTTATGCTGTTTTTACCCTGGTTCATAGAAATATGTCATAGTTCTAGGGACCACAAGATCACACGCCTTTTCAGAGCAACGGAAATTTGGGTGGTCACATAAAAGCTCTATTATGCTAAGAACAGTCTACTTTATTATAATTTTATTCAGCATCAGTTTGGGTGAAAATTTATTGTAGCCAAAATCTACTGAAAACTATAGTAATAGTTGTTTTTATTATAAGTATGGGTATCAAAAGCCTTGTCACATGAATCATTTTCACACACTTTTCCAAGTCAGTGAAACAGCCAAGCAATGACTGAAGGTGGTCTGCACTGACAGCCCATTGTTTATGCCAAATCTAGTTTCCCTTGAAAAAAATAACTTTTTCTGCCCAATCATGGTCAGAGTACAGCAGATAGAAAGCAGGTAAGTCAATTGGAAGTACAACCTGCATCTTTTATGTGTGGGCCAACATGAAGTTCAGCATTCATTTCATTCAGTCTGACCCAGCAATTGAGGTGGTCAGGCAGTGGCAGTCATTTCTGTAAAACAAAATAGACACTTTATGCTAACAATATCACTTTAACATTCAGATGCATGTGGAAGAATTCAAACTTTACAGACTGTGTGTGCCCATGCATCCTCCCAAGGTCATCATATGGTTGGCACATAGACACTTCGGGTTTATTTACTAAAGCTGGAGAGTCCAAAATCAGACTCCCTTCTGCATAGAAACCAATCAGCTTCTAACCTCAGCTTGTTCAGTGAAGCTTTGGCAATGGAAACCTGGAAGCTGATTGGTTTCTATGCAGAAGTGAGTCTGATTTTGCACTCTCCAGCTTTAGTAAATAAACCCCTTCATGTCCACCTACTTTAGTGATCTCACTTCATGATGTGCATGAGCAGTACATTATTCTAGTTGTCATGTTTGGGGGATCGGGTAACTTCAATGCTAGTATCTCTCCTAGCTTCAGAAATTGTTAATAATTATCTTTAGATATCTAAAGAGATCTGTCATTAGGTTTTGAATGGACTAGAATCATTCTCTAAATCTGTTAGCACAGGTTGGCAGTTTCATT